TGTTTCGTGTCTTCTTATAGCCTGTCGAGAGAGGAGGGAAAGGGGTCAAAAGAAAAATAAAGAGAAATAAAGAAACAGCGAAACGGGAGGAGAAAGGGTAAATAAATATAGAAAATCTATGAGAAGAAGCAATACCGACACAGCGTAATTAGAAGGTACCTCCCCCGTACCCACTCTTCCTCAAGTGGGCAGTGTGCCGCCGTTCTTGTATTTTACCTTTCCGTGTAATCCGATGGCGGCTCGTTCCTCTTTGAAGTTTAAGACAAGTTAATGGGGAGAGCTTAAACGCTTCGAGTGCGTGCTGGTGGCGTCGAGAGAAACGAAAAAGCCGGTGATTGAGGCGCCGCCATCGATATTCATTATATGCAATGGCTTCTTGTCAGTGAAGGAACAGAATGTGCGTTAAAATTTAAAGAAGGTCTAAAGAAGAAAAATTAATTTTCTTTTTACTTTTCTTTTGACCCCTTCCCTCCTGTCTCGACAGGCTATAAGAAGACACCAAAACATGTGTAAATAATATTATGCCTTGAAAAAGACGGGGCTCCCGTCGAAACCTCGGCAGAATACACAGTTGTTATGTGAAAGCGCATATACTTTCATATATATATATATATATATATATATATATATATATATATATATATATATATATATATATATATATAATATATATATGAAAGTATATGTATTTAATCAGATATAACAGACAATAATGCAAAGGAATGTATATTGGAAGTCATTAGAACCAATGTAAGGTAAATAAGAAGAAAGCAAAGTGGGTGAAAAATTAACGTGCTCACACGGCAGGGGAATTTTTCACCCACTTTTTTTATTTACTTTACCTGGTTTTAATTACTTTCCTTACACATTCCTTCGCAATATTGTGTGTTATATCTCCTTATCATTGTGTCAAAGCACAGTAATAATGCATATATATATATATATACATTATGCATAATATAATTAATGCATAATGCATATATGCATTAATTAATGCATTAATGCATAATGCATTAATGCATATATATATATATATATATAAATATATATATATGAATGAAGAAAAAACGAAAACAAGAATGGACAGTGTACACGTACGAGTCAGTCAGAAAAAAGCATGGTCTCCAGCTATCAGTCTTTGTCACCAATTTCCTTCTGGCTTACTTCTCGGAGGCAGTTGAGTTTACCGGGGTCCTCGTTGATGCCGGCTACTAATGTTCGAAATTTCAAAATAAAATATGCCTCATGCTGTTCGCGCTCGCGTCTGTTTGAGAAACCGGACTGCAAAAGAGTTACGCTGATATTTTCAAAACTGTATCAGTGTAACTCTGTATCAAAACTGTATCAGCTGGAGACCATGCTTTTTTCTGACTGACTCGTACGTGTACACTGTCGAATCTAGTTTTCGTTTTTTCTTCATTAATTTTTTCTTTTCTTCCTTTTTCCACATGCACATACAAAGTGTTTTCGTTCGCCTACCACTTGATGACCATTGAACGAAAACGGACGAGGATTAAAGGTGAAAAGAGCCGACCGACCCAATAACGGGAGACCCTTCCTTTACGCACACCGCATGCCGACCGACCCATTACGGGGAAACCCCTTTCTTTACGCACGCCGTCACGGACCCTCCCGGCACCACGGCGACAATCTTGGGTGGCCCGACACACGTCGAGAACTGAACAGCACGTGATAAGAAACGTATGTGGACGTACACGGACAGTTGGTTTCATTCTAAGTGTTGACACTGGTTCTTCCTCTTTTTTACTTTCTTTCTTTTCTTTCTTTTTCTTTTTTTTTCTCCCCACCCCTTTTTTAGTTTCTTCTCACTCTCGCAAACATGTTTCACGGTGAGAGGGACGCGGCAGCAACGAAGTTTGGAAATTCATGTCAGTATAACTCATCCCCTGATGAAGGAAGGACCCCTCCCGAAGCTGTTGGGAATCAAATATATTTATCCTTGTTGACAACGCTCCTGTTGTGCCATATCTCATACCTTCACAAAGACTAACTGGCCCATTGAATTGTTACTCTCACTATATATATATAAATATATATATATATATATATATATATATATATATATATATATATATATATATATATATATATATATATTATATATATATATATATATATATATATATATATATATATGTGTGTGTGTGTGTGTGTGAGAATGAAGGAGAATGGATGGAGAATGAATGAATGGGAGACGTGGCCTGGCTCATACGCCATGTTTATTCCATGAAGCACTTCTTTCTTCTCGGCTTCTAGCAACCATCGGTACCTTCTTACGTCACATGATTCCCCTTCCTCGGGAGAAGCCGCGTCATACACTTAACAAAACAACAATAACGCAGAGTGTTAAAGCGAAAAATTTCAAAATGCACCATAGTTCCATTTCAGAAGGGAGCTCCTTAACTTGCACAAAAAATCCACAGCAGGGAAACAGTCCGGCCATATTTAAGACAACTCGGGTGGACGAGGCTGGCTGTTGAGTCCTGGATGGCGTAACCACACCCTGGAGATCTGCTCTGGTGATGACATCGGTTGAGTTCTTGTGAGGAACGGGCAAGGTTGGGAGTCCCTGTAGCATTTCAGGTTCGAATGTCGAAGGCGTCAAATTGTGTGTCGTGGTGGGAAAAGACGGTGTGCTTCCAGTTTGCGAGTGCGATGGTCGCTGCTGACGGAATGGTGTCTTGGTTTCTGCGTTCTACAGATGATGCCTTTTCGTCTCCTTCGTCGTTTTCTGCGGTTGCGGAGCTGTAATCGTAGGCGCAGTCTTGATCTCTTGTGCAAAACGCGTTTGTGGCGCCGATACCTTATGCGGCTATGTCTCACGTCTTGAGTTTGCTTTAAGAGGCTTGCTTTGCGTCGTAGTCCTTGTTGCCGTATCTGTTGGAGTGTGTCGAATCCTTGTACTCGCTTTTGCTGGCGTTGCTGTGGTTGTACTCGAACGTGCTGAGGTGGGAACGCTTCTTGAACATCATGCCGGTTTTCTTTACAAATTGATGTAGTGTCCAGTCGGCAGCTGGTAATCTGTTGGCTGTTGTAACGCTTTTAGGGCATTGAAGTTGGTACGACAGATTTGACTGGAGGAACATCAGAGGTGCCTGCAACAGCATTCATTACGTAGGGTTCTGGCACCTGGCAATCTGTAAGAGTTGCTTCCGAGCCTCCTATGTTTGGGCTTTCAGATGGCTGTGCTCTCAATGGCGACACCGCAACAGGCGTGGATTGGTCAGATTCTAGTTGGGAATGACTGTCTTTTTGTGCAACGAACAATGCGAGCTCTTCTGGCGCATGAATCTGAACTGTAGGTCCCGGGCTTTACTGAGTATGCTCCGAGCTTCTCTTCTCTATTCCGACCACAGTGAACGTGTGAGACCCGAGGTGGGCGTTGTGAGCGACCGCAGATCCACGCGATGGAAAAGCAGGAGGTTGGTCAAATTCATGAAGGCTGCTTTTGACTGTAACGACTGAGTGCGGTTATCTGTGGATGGTGGGTTATAGGCAAGTCTTTGTCGTTGTCGTCATTGTATTCTTTAAACCAAACAATCAATTTTTGTTTGATCTTTTCCCCTTACTCGTTGTTTTGAAATAATATGAGCGAGGTAAAATTTGAAGGCCTCAATGGAGACGTAGTCGGTAAAGTCGGTGACCATCTACCGTTCCGACAATGATGTAGCGGTGGCGTTGAGCTCGAACAGTTCGAACCAGTCCTGTAGAGGTTCATCGTCCGCTGCTCCGCTGTACTTGGGGATGGGAAGGTCAGTCGATGATTGCGTCATGATGGTTGCAATGGTGTCCAGTGGCGATGCACTTCTGTGTTCCGCGTTCGGTCACTGCGTCTCGCTGAGGTGTTCAATGATGATGGCCGGTTGATGAAGTGATTGCGAGGTCTTCATCCTGTCGACTCGTGTGACGCTATGATGATTGGGAGACGTGGCCTGGCTCATACGCCATGTTTATTCCATCAAGCACTTCTTCCTTCTCGGCTTCTAGCAACCATCGGTAGCTTCTTACGTCACACACACACACACACACACACACTTATATATATATATATATATATATATATATATATATATATATATATATATCTATATATATATATATATATATATATATATAGGTTTCCTACAGATACATATAGGAAACTTGGGTAAACACTTGTTCTTGTGGCCGGAAACCCAATATTTATTTAGCTCGGACGCCTTCTGACAGGCCCATATGCGGTGGTGAAACTTTTGCCATCTCTTTCGTAAGCAAACTCGCTCATGCATAGCTTCGAAGTTAGAAGTGCTATTGTCATAGGTTCAGGCTGCGGCTTTTACTGTTTGCTCTCCTTTCAGAACGCGATATGAATTCAGGCCTACTTCCGGCAGCAATACAGAATAATTTTAGCTCATCGTTCAGGGTTTTGGGGTGCACGTGGGATAATGACGACGGCCTATGTTTTACGCTTATTCTTGTTTTCCTGAGATGCAGCTCGAATACGGAAGCCACTCGTGGTGCTTTATGTGGACAGCAAGCAATGTGCTCGCACATTTCAGACGTTATTGGCCGGCTCCGATCTTCCATGCTCCCATATCCAAGGAGTGCGACAAAGGGAAAGGGACGTGAAGTTACTAGGTCAAGCATGGTTTTACCTATTGCCTAACTGTGAACGATCAAAGGCACAGATGGAACTAAGGGTAAATTACTAATAGTAATGTTACATCGTTCGTCGGTCTCTGCGCGTTGGCACAAGCGAAGTAGACACAAGCTGACAAGCTGGTAGAATGGGCCTTTATTTTCAGTGTCTGTTGCAATATAAAGACTCAAAGTAAAGAGGGAAAGGGAAACCAGGTAAGTGAAACAAGAGATAGAAGCTTTGGCTATAACAGAGCCAAAAACTGATAAGGGTTACACTTCAGTTACGACACTTCTCCATCAATAATATTAGAGACGCTGCACAGGTTTCCGCTGTCGGGTTGAGCGCCGGAGTTCTGTGGTCACTGTAGGTTCCTGGACTTCTGCTTTTCCTGGTCTTGGGTTGGGGATGATGACTGCAGCTGGTGTGGTGGCTCACGGAGTTCCGCCTTTACGTTTGGCCCTGATCCGGAAGTTTCTTGCGTAGTTCTCGACATAGGCATACTTTCCCCTTCCCTGTCACGGTGGGGTTCAACCGAGTCTCTCCTTGTGTGAACTTGATCCACATGTCTCCGAACAAAGCCCTCTGGCGTCTCGACTGTCACCATCCTCGCTCCGTCGGCGGACTTTACCGTACCGGTCTCCCACTTTTCACCCTTGCCAAAGTTGCGGATGTAAACATTCGTGTACGGTGCCAGGGTCCCCTCATCTGATTCACCTGATCTTCCTGCAATCATGGGAGGAAAGCACGTGTCCAGACGAGATCGAATTCGGTAGCCCAGGAGAAGCTCCGAAGGAGACTTGCCCGATGGGAGGGGTGTTCTCCGGTAATTGAAGAGTAGTCTGCAAAGGCAATCTTCTAATTGGCCCTGGTTAATCTTCTTCAGCCCATCTTTCACGGTTCGAAGAGCTCTCTCTTCAAGGCCATTGGACTGGGGATGAAATGCAGTCGTGCGCAGGTGAGTTATGTTGTTCTTATTCATGAAATCGGCAAAATCTTGACTTGTGAATTGCGTTTCGTTACTGAAGCAAGGGTGCGCGGAATGCCGAACCTGCTGAACAAGCTGCGCAGGCAAGTTATAGTCGAAGATGTGGTCGCCTGCTTGACTGGTATGGCCTCGATCCATTTGCTGTAAGCATCTAAAAGAAGAAGGATCATGCTTCCATTTATTGGCTCCGCAAAATCTACATGTACTCTTGACCAGATTTCCTGGCATGTCGGTCAGCTAACTGGCGGGGCAGATGCCGGCATTGGTTGATTTTGAATACAGCTTGTGCACTTTGCCGACATTTGTTCGGTGTCGTTATCCATTCCAGGCCACCAGAAAGCCGACCGAGCGATTGCCTTCATCGCCGATGATCCTTAATGAGTTTCGTGAAGCATGTGCAACATTCTATGCTGCGCGCTTTCTGGAATGACAACCCTACGTCCCCAATAGAGCAAACAGTGGGCCAGCGAAAGCTCGAGTCTGCGGTCGAAAAAAGGGAGTAATCTTCGTTCTAGTGCTTTAGCACTTGTAGGCCACCCATTCTTTGTGTACTGCACAACCTTGGCCAGCACTGGGTCACTGGCGGTTAGCGCCTGCAATTCCGCTGTCGAGACTGCACTCTCATGTACGGATGCCAGGGCCAAATGTACTCGGGGGCTCGCCGTCCGCGGTTGGCTCAGAAGTTTCTCGTGGCAACCTACTGAGGTCGTCCGCGTTCAGGAGCTGCTTGCCTGGAGAATACTGCAGCTTGTAGCGGAATCCGCCCAAATACAGCGCCCAGCACTGTATACGAGCAGCTGCCAGTGGTGGAGTTGGCCGATCTGATCTCAGCAGGCCCAGGAGCGGCTGGTGGTCTGTGACGAGTATGAATTGTCGGCCTAGAAGATAATCGCGGAACTTCATTACTCCAAATACCAGGGCTAACTGCTTCTCGTTCAAGTTGTGAATAATTTTGTTCTGCTTTCGACAATGTTCTCGAACGGAACCCAATAGGCTCGTTCCTGTTCCCTGTTGTGCGAAAAAGCACTGTGCCGATGCCTCTTTGTGATGCGTCGCACTCTAGTTTCAGCGGCTGTGAAGGGTCGTAGTGCACTAACACCCCGTGCCTGCCTGCAGCAACACCGTTTTGCTTTGTCAAACGCGCTTTGTTGTTCTTCTGTCCAGTCCCAACGTCTGTTTCTTTCCAGTAGCAGATACAATGGAAAGAGCAGAGACGATATGTTCGGCAAAAACTTTGAGTAGAAACTGATCATGCCAAGAAACGAACGAAGCTCGGCTACATTTTTCGGGCTGGGAGCATGAACGATTGCTTCGCTATTTTCTTCTATTGGGTGCAGCCCTTGCTGATCGATTCGATGGCCAAGATAGGTAACAGACGCCTGCCGAAATTTGCATTTATCAAGACGTAGTTTAACACCACTCTCCCGGAAACGTTGCAGAACGGACTTTTAGCACGTCGTCACTTTCCTGCTTTTTCGGACACCAAGACTTCGTCCAGATAAGCTTGCGCGCCCGATAAGCACTGCAAAACAGTTTCCATCCTACGTTGAAAAATGGCTGGTGCAGAGGCAATGCCGAAAGGTAATCTGTTGTAGCAGAAAAGACCTTTGTGCGTGTTAATTACGCACTACTGGCGCGATTCGTCATCCAGCGGAACTTGGTTATATGCATCCCTTAGATCTAGTGTACTGAAATACTTGCCGCCGTTTAAGGACGCGAACATGTCATTGATTACTGGCAATGGGTATTGCTCCAGCTCACATGCCGCATTTAAGGTGACCTTAAAGTCGCCACAAATCCTAACGGTGCCGTTCTTCTTAAGCACTGGTACAAGGGCGTAGCCCATTCGGAATGTGGCACCGGTGACAAAACGCCTAGTGCCACCAGCCTATCAAGCTCTTCAGAAACTTTGTCGCGTAGCGCGAAAGGAATAGCGTGGGCCTTACAGAACTTGGGTGTGACTCCCTTCCTTCAGCTGAAGCTGCGCCGCAGGTCCTTTGATGAGGCCTAGTTCCGAGCTGAAGACGTCTGCAAACTCGGAGATTATATCCGAAAGGACCTGTGTGTTGGTAGACGGCTGTGCAGTCGGCGGCTCATAATTGATATGTGGGGTTTAACGTCCCGAAACCACTATATGATTATGAGAGACGCCGTAGTGAAGGTCTCCGGAAATTTTGACAACCTCGGGTTCTTTAACGTGCACCCAAATCTCAGCACATGGGCCTACATTTCCGCCTCCATCAGAAATGCAGCCGCCGCAGCCGGGATTCGAACCCGCGCCCTGCGGGTCAGCAGCCGAGTACCTTAGCCACTAGACCACTGCGGCGGGGCGGCGGCTCGGCTGAGAGGCTGAGAACAGAGGGAGCCTGCGTCACTCTGAAGAAAAAGTAGGTCTCGGCCACATAAACTTGAACTGCAGCAATCTAGCACTACCAAAGGGCATTCTATGGTTGCACCGACGTACGACACCGACAACAGGATCTCTCCAAGGACTGGCAATTTTCCCAAATAGCATGACAGCTTTATGCGCGATGGCTTCAGCGGAGGCCAAGCGTTCTTGTGCTGCTCAAAAGTCCTGACGTGACACGACGCAGACCGGTGAACCAGTCAATAAGCATTGATACGTCAACACTTCCCCACGTGAAGCTGCGCCGTATTGGGGTCTTCACAGTTTCCTCCCGCGTCGATCTTAGCGTCCAAATAGGCAGGCTATCATCAACGCCTTTATCTGTTTTCCTTTCGTTAACAGCGAGGACTCGGCCGCGTGTTTCCGAGGGTGCTTGTTGAGTTCGAGACTTTGCGATTTGATCATGCTGGCATTTTCGAGCTAGATGATTACGTCTACCGCAACAATAACAACGCGCGTTATTCCAACGGCAGGCAGTACTGTTGTGTCTGACACTGCCACAACGCCCGCATTCAGCGAGTACCTCTTTGCTCGTGGAAAACTGCGCCTTGATTCTGAGGACAGCTGATGCTTCGCCGGCCATTTTGCGGGCATCATTCTCTGCCGCTTCAGCTGCGAGGGCCATTGTTTCGGCGTCCTCTAACTACAGATCTTTCTTTGTCAGCATCTGCTTTTGCAGCGCACTCAATTTGATGCCGCACACTATTCTATCCCGCAGCATTCGGTCGAGCATGGTATCCAAATTGCAGTTGTCCGCAATTCGGCGAATCTCAGTAATGAGTTCTTGAACAGCCTCACCGTCCAGCTGGCAGCGGATGAAAAAGCGGAAACTTTCTGCAATCTCCTGGCGCTTGGGATCAAAGAACTCGTCCAATGCTTTCACGAATTAGGCTTCTTCGGCGCTATTCTTCCTGATAGTATCTGGACAGTGCGAGTACTTAAGGCTGCCACCAAAAACGCCCGTTTCTTGGCTGACTCTGTCAACCGTGTTGCCTCAAAGTATGCTTCTGCCTTGATGACATACGCCTTCCAGTTGTCTTTCTCGTCGTCGAAGTCCGGCACTTGCTGGTGCGCCATCGTCGTAGCTGACGTCCTGCTAGAACCAGGGTTCTTCTTTCCAGTTCTTCGTCGCCACTTTTACATCGTTCGTCGGTCCCTGCGCGTTGGCGCAAGCGAAGTAGACACAAGCTGACAAGCTGGTAGAATGGGCCTTTACTTTCAGTGTCCGTTGCAATATAAAGACTCATTGGGACGCATCGTAGTGCCGACCAGTGAATCATAAAATCAGTCAGCAGCAAGCAGCATACGGCATTTACAGCCTGTTGCATTGTACTCAGTGGTTTTTTTCGTCACTATAGGTAAGTCTGCACGTTATGTCTCAAATTTCTTTTCAGATTCCAACAAAGCTAAACCGCTCTCCTCCCCGTCCCCAATCCACTTATGCAGTGCATCATTATTGGGTACAAATACCAGTGTGTATATTGCGCCAGGATTGGCTATTTTTCTACGCATAGCAGAAATACACAGCCGTGTTGACGCGCGTGGTTGTGATCATCGTATGTGTTTAGGACATGTAGAAGTGGTTCATGATTGTTTCTTGTTTTATTTTGTGTAGACCACCTGACTAAATGTGCATGGCACTTGATAACTAACTCAACTTCTGATAAAGTGGATCGAGTTGTGAATTTACTCTCTGCTAGTAAATTCCTCTGTGGTAATTTAGGACTTATCAAACGGATGTGTGCACTAAACTCAAGGACATTCACTTGAGCATTACAGATGTGAAAAAAATGACTGTCACAATTTGGACAACGCTCAGAAGCGGCAAACATAGTCAAATAATAATAGTAATAATAATAATAATAATAATAATAATAATAATAATAATAAGCTTGTATAGTTATTCTACCATTCTTATGATGCTAATCATATATTTATAATAATCTGTAAATTTCTACGTCCTGAAAACACCATATGATAATGAAAGACGTCGTAGTGGAGGACTCCAGAAGTTTCTACCATTTGGTGTTCTTTTACGTGCTACGGTGTTCTGACATCGCGCAGTACACAAATCTCGGTCATTTTAGTTGACGGCGTTCTTAGAAATGTATGTGCAATGAGCCCGCTCATGCTGGAAACTTGGATCAATGCAAAACCATTCAAACAAAACAACCTAATCAAAGAATATTACCACGATCCTTCCACATATTTTGTTATCACCCTGTATTCATATGTAAATATCACCGAAAAACTGTGCTTGGAGTGTCCGAGAAGCTTCGGGCCTGTAGTAGAAAATTTTGTTAAGATAACGCCCACTTCTTAAACATTTCAGATTATTCTCGAATCCACGTCGCCGCTAGCGATAACGCTAGAATTTTAGATGGCAAGTGCCTAATTGGCGACACGATTCGCTGCTTGTTAGTTCATTGCCAGCGGGCGCTCCGTTCGCCGCTATCAGTGCAAGACTGGTACTGTAATCCGACTTTCCGTTTACCGGGCACAGGCTTCTCCCAAATAAACAGTTTGATCTCAACATATACCCTCCTGTCTTCGCCACATCACGACCCCGCGACATCTGGTAAAGGTGCTGCTTTGCTCATTTACCGGACGCCCCCGTGAAGCCGTGAACCCAGCCCAAGTCGCGGAGAAGCCTCCGACGCCAGCCATAAGCACCGCATACAACAAGGGTACTACCGGAGTACCGACCTCTACAAGACAAGGCTTGGAAGACCAAGGCCATTACCTCGACTAAGGCGGATATGACAACCGCTGCGTCATAGCACGCGTGATCGTCATGAATCAGCCGAGGGAGCCACTGACATTCCGTGGGTCATCGTTTCAAGAACCGGAGACCTGGCTGGAAACTAATGACCACGTGGCCACTGGAACACGGAAGAGAAGCTCCATCACGCGTACTTCTACATGGAAAACGCCACAACAACATGGCTCGAAAATCGAGAGTTTTCGCTTCAAACCTGGGAGCTTTTCTGCACCGCATCCCTGCAAACATTCACGAGCGTCTCTCAAAGAGAGAGCCGCTGCTTTGTTACTGACCTGGGTGCAGCTGTCAAATGAAATCGTGATCTTTTCCCAAAATAAATGACCCGCCTGCTCCATCACACTGACCCGGACTTAGCTGAGGACAGGCGCTCTTAGCGGGTTTAATGTGAAACCCAGCAATGACTGTTATGTGTCCTCTAGTACAGTAATGACCGCAAATATAAAAATAACGTTGTTTGTTCGATTGTTAACAAGAATTACGAAATTTTATTTTGAAGCCGTTTTTCCAAGTAGTGAAAAAATAGCAGAAATGGCAAATTTGCTGCTTCAGGATGAACTACTAATTTTTAGCAGGAACGTTTTTTTGAGAATGCCCCTATGGATACGGTAGAAAAAAAAGCGGATGAATGAATACAGGTGATTGAAGCTGATTTGGGTAAAAAAGCATCCACTGAAAGTATTAATGAAAGGTGGTCGTTATTACAACATTGTTATATTGAGTTAGGAGTGCTCGTGATTTAGTGAAATATTCAAAGTGTAATAAAGCGGCATGTTTGATGAGGACGCAAAAGGAAATACAGAATGACAGATGCTCTCTTTCAACTAGGAATTCTTTTTGGAAAAAATAATACTTCAGGTACAGCTTTTCCTCGGAGAAATGCCTTCTGCTGTTAGGAAATACTTGATGACTTCCCCATTTTCATATTATTCAGTAACAAAGTAGCTAAGAGATAAATAATAGGCTGACCAGTCTTCAACATTTAGGATACTGATCTAACTCCTCACTTTTTGCCCTATCCTACTTCTAGGCGGATGACTCAACAATTTTAACTGCGTGCACCTCAATTGATAGTCTTACTTCTAAGACAAAAAGTGGTCTTGAAAATTTGATTCACTGATGTCCTCGAAATTCTTTGTTCATTAACCGCACTAAAGTGGTTTTTATGCTATATCACCCCATGCATCAATGGTCATTGAATTTCCGTTTGTAGTGGTCAATAATTATTCTATCGAATCTTTCAGTCATTTTTATTCGTTTTTTAGAGCGATGCTTGTTTCAACCTTAAAGTACACTTCCAATGTCTCACACCCAAAGCAAAAAGCTCCCTATGGTATTAGCATTCTCGTCAAGGCACGCCCACACTTTCGTCTGAATACCTTGGATTAACTTTACTATGCCTTCGTTCACAGTCACTTCGTCTACCGCATTGTGCCCTGGTGAATTACATTTAGCGCTCATCGGGCATCTGTACATTATGTTCACAACCAGGCTATACACATTATCATAGTTCAGTCACCACTATCTAGTACATTGAACAAGAGCATCGTTTTCTAACCTTTCAGGAGTTATTCTATTTTAACACGGGAATCTTTACATATATATCTTCACTCAAACATACCATTCATAGTTTTTAATAAAAAGTTAACTGATAAATCAAAACACAAATCAATTTGCGTCAAATAGTATCTTCTTTTTACCTAAAGTTACAACTAATTATGGCTTATTCACAGTGATTCCTGTCTGAAACGGCATTCCAAGAGACAGAAAAATGTCTCCGTGCATGTTTAGTCGTAAAAAACACTTGTTTTTGTTATTATACAGCGTCGAAATATTTTTCTTTCAATCTATGCTTTTTTAAAAAAACTGTTTTGCCTATTATGTTTTTTTTATTATACCAAAATTGCTTATATTCATGTGGCTGAAATTGCTGCTGGTTTGTGGCATAACCATTTATCTTTTTTATTGCCTTTGAATTATCACAAGTTAAATCTCGCATAGCAGTAATTCATTCATGACTGTTTTATTGTTGCCGCATGTTACCCTTTGGACAAGAGTGTTGCATTGTAATTTGTATTAACCTGATTTGTATCGTTCGCTTGTGATCGGACATGTATTTCAGTGTATTTATATATTCTCGTTTAATTCATTTGCTGTCAAATGGTACTGATCCGTTGAAACTTATTCTTTTCTGTTTGCCATTTGCTTTGATTGTTTAATTTTCCTTTGTTTAACGAGCACAGGAGGTACCCTTGCAGCCTAGAGCCTTGGGACCTGCATAATATTTCTGCTATGTATTACCTTCTTTTGATTCAATAAAATGATTTCTTCGTAAAACTCCATGACTCCTTGAGTCCTTTATGTGGATTCACAAATCCTCATTTGGAGATGTTATGATGATCATTGAAGACTTCAGTCGATTCATGACCAAGAAAGTGCACTATCACTGGTCTACGAATGTCACTCTATAGACTAGCACAGTGCTCTTCTACCCCAGAAAACGGTGTGTTACCGCCCTCTTTTCTAGTTCTCTGAGAACTTGCCAGAAGTATTGTAAAGAATTGGCTTGTTTCGTAGCGCCTTTATGATCGCACACAAGCGCTGCTGCTTTATGAATGACTTGAGAGGTCGGGAGAGATGGCATGCTTGACAAGAAACGGAAGCAATTTATTATTTCATCATTTTAATAGCTCACCATATTCTTTAAAATAAATATTAGGCTAATGGGATGTCATCCCTCTTTCATAGCTCAAGAATATTTTGGAAGTTTAACAAAACGTACCTGTGGCATGCAAAGTCTTGTCTACACATATTTCATAGCAGATATATGGTGCCCCAACACTGGCCAAATTTCTGAGTTACTCGTGGGCCTCCTCTTCGAAGCATGCTGAAAAGACGTTCCAAACATGATATCACCAGTTTCACATGGTATAGATGACTGAAAGTATCACGTTTGAAATGCATAAGCGCTCGAAACCTCCATAAAGTTGGTCATACTAGTGCTTTGTAGTCAAAACAGTCATACTAGTGCTTTGTAGTCGAGTCGTGCCGCTTCGTAATGAAGTAAGTAATATTGTAACAACTGGTCACTGACACAAGTTCATGTATGGAAGCAACGAATATCCAAGTAACCTCATATTCATCGTGGTACAAGCACAGTACTTGTGTTTGCAGTAGAAGCACATATATTCTCAGTTACTTACAGCTAGTACTTCAAAGGACTAGCTGTAAGTAACTTTGTAGACGCACCGAACTTAGAATACTTCATGCTAGTGAATAGCGCCTTCTTCAAGAAAAG